CTCCATTATGCAGGAGGGGAGACTGGGACAGAGACAGATGAAGCTGCTCGCTGAAGGTCTCACAGCGATTCTCCGGCAGTGCTGCTCTGCCGCTTTCTAGCGCCGCCTCGGAGGCAAGGTTGTCCTTTCTCCCTCGAGGGTGCCGAAGGGAGGTGTATCAGCACTTGTTTTTCAGCCGCCTCTTCCTGTGTTTGAGCGGAGTGAAATTGTCTGGAATGGTGAAGCAAGTTGGCTTCAGACATCTTGTCAAATTAACTTCCCTGGTCCGTGTGTGCGTGGGGCTGCGTGGCTGGGAGTCAGCAGGGGCAGAAGGCACAGGCATGCTGGCGGTGTCAGCACTAGTCGGAGGTGCTTGTGGAACCCGTAGGGGTTGGCAACGTGAGAAAGGGTCTATTTCAAACTTATATTTCAGTCAAGTAAAAGATCAAATGTATTTATAATGATTGCCATCATGCTAGCTGGCAACAGACTGATCCTTTCCTCCGTGTATCATCCAGCTCCACCAATATTCATAAGAACTTTCATCTGCCAGGGCAAGGAGGATATTTCGGCATCACACAGAGCTGTCTATCCATCCCTATATGTTTAATATTGGTGCTGATGAGCAATGCTGAGAGACTCTCCAGCCACAGGTTAGCTGGTGACAGGAATCCCTTGGGTACCTGCTGCAAGTACTCAGACAGGAACCTGGTGCCTACCGAAATATCCAGAAATAGGCACCAGGACCTTTCCTGCAGGGTGTGAGGGTGTATGTGCAGCTAACTTGGAGGCTAGAATATGAAAAGAGCAGAGTTCCCTCACTAGGTCACAAAAATGAGCTGGCAAAATGGGACCGTGCTGGCCTCTGACATCATTACACGGTAATCCCTCAGTTGCAATGAAACGCGTTCAGCTGGGTGGCTCCAGTAAGCTGTTGTTGGTGTCCAGGCATGGGGTCGTGGGAGGCAGGAACTGTTGGCTTTTCTTTTTCGCGTGTTACTTTCCCTTCCCTCAGTGTGTCGCCTCCAAGGTCAGCCTTGACCGTGAGCAGGGCCCTTCCAGGGCTCAGCAAGGCTGGGCACCCTCACATGCTGCGGTCTGGGCGCGTGCTTCATTCTGGTGCTGGGAGAAAAAGAGAAGCTACTGCAAAGTTGAGAGTCATTTTCCCCAATATAATGGTAGCATTAGGACTGTTGTGTGGCACTGACCCAAAGTTGCCAGACCATGGTTATTAGGTTTGTTGTATTATGACTGACTTATTATAACATATCAACAGGTGTAATTTTATTTTCCCCTGCCTCAGAAAAGGGACTTCTCACCTCCCAGTGATGGATGTCTCAGCTCTGACAGAAATTCAAGGTCTTCTACTTCATGCCTTCACCCTCCTTAGGCCAGCAAAAGTGCTGATAGTGGAAAAGAAGGTCTAATGAATACCAGCAAATCCCACATATACATTAAATCCTCAAGACGTTCTGTGTAACAGAATATGTTGGTAAACTCTCATGAGCTACTTGCTGTAGAGTCCTACCTCCACTAATAACGTGCTCCTGAAGCCAAAAACCCTTCTCAATGTATTGGAAGTGGGGTAATGTGAAATAAAATCATTCTGGACAAAAGTAGAGAGCAGATCTGTCAGGAGGAGAGGCAGACGTAGTGTGTTAGGCACGCGTTACAGTGCGTAGCTAACGGTGACAGCAGATACATAAATCGTTCTGGCTTTCTCAGGGAGGTACGGACCCAGAATCCACTTGGAGGGAAAAGTAACAGTTCCCTTTACTGATACAACATCAGACCAGATTGAAATTGCAGTGACCCCCGTAATAGAACAACAAAAAAAAAACATTGTCTGTTTTTACTGTGACTTTTGTTGGGCAGAAATCAGTTCACCAAAGATCGCTCATTTAGGAGCAATAAATATGAGGAATGCTTAGTTTTGCTAGTTCCTGCCTCCTAGCCTGATGAAATGAACTATACAAGGACTCTTATTCCCTGTCCGCCACGCAGGGAAGCCTAAAGGATATGTAATTATATGCAGAAACCAAAGGGAGAATAGTTAGCAGTGAAGTGTCTAGGTAACTCTCTTAAAAGTTAAGATGAAAAGCTTCGATGGAAGTGACCTTCATGCTTAATGTTCCCTCTTTGCTTTTTTCCACACTTGAAGCTCTAATGATCACTTTTTTCCACTTTGTCACTCTATCACGTATTTCATGAAACATTTCTGTAGCTGGACAGGAATTTGGATCCAGGGTGGTAATATCTGCAAACATTGGGTGGATGCAAAACATGAAGGCTGGTACAAAGGGGCAGAGTTTCCACTCTTTGTAGTGGACCGAACAAAAACTTGACATAGGTTGCTACATGTAGGAGTTGTTTAATATTTTATTTAAAACTTGATTGTAACATCAAGAAAGGATAAAATGATCATCAAATGTTTCTTTAAGTAGGCTATGCTGTCCCCTTTGAGCAGTGCAGAAACTTGCTGGGGAGCACAAGGAAAGCATGTTGGGAATGGAAAGCCTCTGTGCAACCGGAGGCTGTAACCCTGCAGGCTCTTGGGCTGCAGACTGCAAATGCTGGTGTGCTGTAGGAGGATGACATGCAGTCATGTCTGGATGAGATGAGAGGATGGGGAAGGAAGGAGATGCGACATCTGAGTAGAAAAGGAAGGAGAGAAGAAACATCCAGTGCTCAGAAATAAGGAGAGCAGAAAGTACCAGTAGTCAGGCTGGAAGACAAGAGGAAGAAGGAGCCTTTTGGGAAGGAGTTATATCTCTAGGGCAGTCTTATTTATTTTAATTTAAAATTGTAGAAGGCTTTTGTAGTTGTGACTGAAACCAAATTTGAGACACCAGCACTTGCTCGATTGCTTGAAATGGGGATAGCTTAGGTAAAAACAATGTATTTTGCTTTTAAGATAATGAAAGGTTTATTTTGCTTGAAATAGAATTTTTCTTAGGGTGATAATGACATAAATCATGGCTGATGTTCCTTTAGTTTACAGTGAGCAAAAGAGTAAGAAGGTTATTTTCCTGTCCCAAAACAATTATTTTAGCTCATTTTTCATTCTGAACTTTTCATTGAAATAGAAAAAGAAAAAACAACAGTTATACCAGAAAATGTGCTTGTGGTTTTTAAAGCCCTCAGGTGTTCCTGATGGGACTCATAACACATTCCAGAGTAGTTTCTTCCTAATATGTATGGAACAATCTCCCTCTGATGCCAGCTACAAGTGCATACAGCATGTAACCAGCTGGTCACAGAGGCTTTTTCGTTGCCTTGTTGAAGCGGTTCTTAGTCTGGCTGACCTTCTTGGTCCACCCTTCACAGGCCGGCCCGTCCCCCCAGCAGGTCTGATGTCAGAGCACCGTACCCTCGTAGGTCTGGGTTCACGATGAGCAATGCTGTTGGGCCCCTCTCAACACCATGGGGTGCTGTGAAATGCTTCTAGGCATCTTTGGATTGGCAGAAACTGTTTTGATCAGCAAATAACCTTGCATAAAGTTCAGGTAAAGGGGAAAAGGTGGTATTAATTTTCATAGTGTTTGGGTTGGAGGAAAAGGTAGCGATAATTCTATCGCAAATTAACTGTAGGTACCCAACCCTTCTGTAATCTATTGGATATCTGAGGCTATTTTCATCTTTGTGACTTCATTCCTTCCGAAAATTTGTTCAGGGAATGTGTTAACTTAAAAATAATATACAAACAAGGTGCGAACGGTTCAGTGAAGTGATAGCCTGAGGTTAAAAACACAGTGATCAAATTCAGTGTCTGAAGTTGGCAGGGAGACTCTCTTAGCACCTCGGGAAGACTTGAAATTAAACTTGTTTTGAAATGTAGGTGTTGAGTCTGTGAAAGAAACTCGCACACCTAAATGAAGCCAGCTTTCCAGAGTTGAAAAGAGCTGGCTGAGCTCTCAGGCTGCCTTCAGGAGAGAGAGGGGCCATGCTCCCACCACGTAACCTCTCTGCTGAGGTTGTCTTTCGTTAGCATCTGTGAGGAGAAAATATTGAGGTAAAATGAGAGCTGTGCTCCCTGTCTGGCTGCTGTCAGCCTCGACCCCCTGTCACCAGCGGGTAGGGGCTGTGCTGTCAACCGCTCAACCTAACAGAGCCAACAGCTTTGGGTTTGGTTTTTTGTTGGGCTTCTTGAGACCTTACTAACTTGAAAGAAGAGGTTTTGGAGATACCCAATTCCTGCACTGTGCTTGTGTTCAGCTTTTTGTTCTCCCTGGTGTTGCCTTCAAGGAAATGCAAGGGGAGTAGCCTCAAAAGGAGCAAAAATCCCTTCCCATTTTAGAGGAAACAGGAGGATGATTAAGCTCCTTTTCCCGGTAATCAGATCCTCTGATTGCCATGGCTTTTGGAGATGATTGTATATTTTCCCATATGTGATGGATTACGTGCTTGTGAAGTAAAAGTTAACTTGGCTGTGAAAATCTAACCAGTTTTTCCCTGTCACCATTTTACTTTTGGTTGTGTGCTTCATACAGTGACCACAGACGCGTATCATCCCCGCCTACAGCATGAGGCACGGGGAAATCACCCTGAGGTTGTTCTGTCTTGTGGTCATTGACAATGTCTGGGAGCCTTTGGAAAATGAAAGCCCTCCCGAGGTCAGAGTAGCAAGGATTCAAATGAATGTGGGAGAAGGAGAGGAACTTGGGCTGGACAGGAAGCACCTTAGGCTGGTCACAGTATAGAGTCTGACCTAATTCACATATGGGCCAAACAACACGTTTCTGTTACCCCTGGTCAGCAAAAAAGCAAGGTTGAAGTAGGATTGTCAGTATGCTCAGACCACCTTCTCTTAAGCAGGTCTACGTTGTCTCATGGTTTCTAGTCTCAGGGTTTAAATTTGGGAGGTGGTAGCCATGTCTCTAGGTCTGTGTTTGTGCAGCAATACACATGGTGTATTTTGAAGCCCATCCTACCAGCAGGACTCCAAAGCACTCGTGTGATACAAACATAAGTCACCATTTTGCATAAACCACTAAGTCTCTCCTTCCTTTTGACAGATTGAAGACATCATTACAAGAATGCAGGATGACAAAACAGGTGGAGTTCCTATCCGCACCGTCAAGAGCTTTCTGTCCAAAATCCCCAGTGTCGTCACCGGTAAGGACCCCAGTTATCAGGGAAGAGAGCATGAGCTGCTCAGAGCAAACACATTGCTAAAGCCAGAAAAAAAGAATGAAGGAAAAAAAAATGCCCCCTCTGCTTATTTTTTCTGCATGTCATTGTTATGGGGTGAAGTATTGAACCAAGATTTCCTAATTCTGTTTAAGGGAGCATTTATATTTGTTTGGGGTGAGTTGTATTTTAAAATGTTACATAGTTTCCGTGGCTATTACAGCATAACCAGACAGAGTCATTCCCTATGATGGGAGTAGGAAGATCTTGGGGAAGAACCCGGGAAAGAAAGTTGAAACAATGTTTTCTCACTCATACCCAAATAGTCTTTTCAGACTTCTGAGACAGGTAGAGGAATGTGAAATACCTTTTATGCATGTATACTGTTTTATTAAAGCTATATGTATAGAAGCATGGATGGTACGGGAACTGGAAGTCAGAGTGCAAAACCATTCCTACCTGCATTTCCAGACAGAACATCTTCCAGTGCAATGGAGAACTTGATAGATGATGGGTTTGCTCAGGGCGATGTAAATTGCTTGGAGGATTTGTACTTGGGTTTCTGGTATCTGCTTTTGCTAACTCTATAGCAGTATTCACTACGGTGGCACAAAACTAGTGTTTTCCCTCTCTCTACCAGTAGACTACTGTCCATTAGGAAATACCTAACTACTCCTGTGACTTATAATTTATGATGTCGTTTATCTCTGCGAAGTAAATATGGTTTTATCTGTCCTGCAGAGTCTCTTTCCAAATCAGACCAGATACACGCACTGATGAGTCTGTTCAGGGAAGTTTTCCCTTCTGTTCTGGAAAGTGAAGGGCTTCCTTCTCTGTGCTGAAGTAAAATTCAGATGATCGCTAAAAATGCAGAAGTTGCGTTGTTGCATATAGGCAGCACACCAATAACTGAGAAGACCGGAAGTTCAAAGGGACCTTTCTTGCTCTCAAGGACTTTATACCGTTGTAAAATAATGGGGAAATGTCTCTAGTCAACAGGGATGCTGGCAATGCAGCTGGTGTCAAGCCGTTGCAGAGGCTTCCCTGCAGTGGAGCATATCTGAGCTGAAGTGCCTCAAAAATACTGAGCAGAGTTTGAGGTTGTGTTGATTGATTCGGGAGTGTGATTTGATATCCTTGTATCAGAAAAATGTCCAACTTAAACTACAGGGATGGAATGCAAATGTGCAGAGTTCTTGGGAAATAGGCAGGGAATATGGAAATTGGAATGAAGTTTTTACTTAAATAAGGCTCAGTCCAGTTAATCTCTTTTTATTTGAGCAACAGGCTTTTCTGTCTGAAATTGATTTGAGGGTGGTGACTCAGTATAACTGGCAGATGCAGGATTAGGGTTTTACTGTGGAAGAAAAACTTGAATCTAGAATGAGATGTGAAAATTGTGTTACTGAACTGCAGGTTATGGCTGGAGCTAACTCTTCTTGAAGGTTCCTGGGGAAAATAACCATTTATCTGATTTAAAAACTCATTCCGTGAGCTCAAGTCTGTAATACACAAACTGGATGTCTTTAGATTTATTCAGCTAAAACAGGTTTCTGATATTCCTGTTAATACTCGTAGCATTGATGAGGCAATTGATCTGGTTGTCGAGCCGCTGCCTGTTACTCAAAGGAAAAAGGAACTGGGAGACCTGACAGCATCTTTAAACTGACTATACCAACCCTTAGGTACCACCCTGGTTGGCAGCTCCCTGGCACGCTGGAAACTGCGCGCACACGCACACACACACACGCACCCCACCTTGCACTCTGCTGTTCTGCAGCAGCAGCTGCAACTGCATCACCTTGAAATGGCTGTTTTTTCACAGTATAGGGCATAGTGAAAACACGAAGATAAAATAAGAACAAAACCTCCCTCCAGAGCTCACAGAAAATTCTCAGATTTGGAGGGGGGGGACAAGCTCTGTACCGTTCCCTTCAGGTGATTTGAAGGCAGCTCCCTTGTGATGCAATGGGCAGTGCATAAAGCCTCTTGAGTGTGAAAAGTATGGGAAAATAGTGGCTCAGATGAGTACCCTAAGTTTTCTCCAGCTCTCATTTCTCCTTTCAGATGCATAGACCTATTGATATAGACCAAAACCAAAAGGCATTTGTATATGGCTTCAGAGAAGACAGGGACAGGCCCTTCTCAGGAGTATATGCTGGGAGCATGAAGGACAATGTACACAAGTTGTAGGAAAAGAAATCCCAACTGGATACAGGAAGAAAGTTGTTTGTGGTCAGAGTGGCTCACCATGGGCCTGGTAGCCTGGAGAGGTGGTAGAACCAGTGTTTTAGAAGCGGTCTGTTTGGAAATGGTGTTTGGAACCAGTGTTCAGCAAAAAGCCCTGAGCACAGCTGACCTGGGCAATCTGACCTAACTCTGCATCTGGCCCTGCTTCAGGTGAAGGTTGGACTTGACAGCCTCCAGAGAATCCTTCTGACCTGAATTATTGTCATGATCGTGGGATACTCTATTTTAGTACTTGTCATTCCACTCAATGTCACGAACACAAGAGAAGAGCTTGTATTTTCAAAAACTTTAGGCTCCCCTCTTGGGAAGAGCTTAATTTCTAGACTCTAGCATTCTCTTACGCTTTTTTCTACCTGAAAAATGAAACAGCAACTCTGAGACATGATTTGCTTGGCAGGCTCACAGTGACTGTGATTAACAGGGGTTTATTTTCGCTTGACACTTCTATTGTAATTGCTTCTCACAGGAGAAATGTGAAATCTTAAAGAAAAAGAAACATTACAGCAGTGTCTTGGTGCTCTAAACAGGCAGCTCTGTATATAGTGCAGCAAAGTGGGTGTCTGATTTAAAGTTTGAATACCAGAGAAAGAACTGCTCATCTCTGTTTTGCTTTCATCTGTCCTGATGCCCGAGTTGTGAATGAGGCATTGTGTAACACGAAGAGAAGGAGCCTGAGGGAGTTATCATTAATGGTCCTCTCTTGACAACGGGAATCTGGGAAAAGGATGAAAAGACCTTTTTTGAATGTATGATGAGTCCGTGTGGGGATGCTGTGCCAAAGGCACGTTTTAATCTGCATTAGAAGTAGATTTGTGTATCCTCCTCCCTGGCTTTTGGCTCAAAGTAGGTCAGTCAAAGGAGGACAACACGTCTCGCCATTTTCTTCTTGTTTAAGTCTTCACTTTAACGGGCAAGCCACAGAGAATCAAAGTAAGATGAAACCAGTCCACGTGGCATCTGTGTGCATGTATCTGACAGATTGTCCAGTGGTAAGTTGAGTACAGCCCTGATGTGGACGAATGGAAGGGAAATCTAACTTGAGGGTAGGTGTTGAGTAGTGCTGTGATCCATGCCCAGACCAGGTTGTCAGACAACGTCCGTGATGGCAGTTGCTGCAATAAAGCTTCACATCTCTCTTTTAGTGAGAAAACAGTTTCCTCGGAAATTATTCTGTTTCTGTAAATGAATTGGCAATTCTCTGTTTCCCCAGTCACCAGGCTGTTGTAAGAACATCTCACACTAACCAGTAACAAACAACTGGCTTTCTAATCTACTTTTTGATTTCTGTACAATTACATCTTAAAACTAACCTCCTGTTTGGTAGAAGGACCAAATGCATATACTTTCTTCTCCCACTGATTCAGACTTGGCCTTATACAACATTGCTGGAAGAAGTCAGTGCAGCAACAGTTTGAACTTCCCAGTGCAAAAAGCCTCCTTCATGCTCCCCAACCTGCCTACAACCTCATTCCAGATTTCACCTGGTCCCATGTACTGTCTGATCCTGTGTACCAGCAACTTTGCTACTGCAACCCAAGGGAGGTGTGCACTCTACGAGCCTTGCACCGTTCTGCCCTTCTCCCAAGAAGCATTGATAGAACTTCATCCTCACCCATAATCCCCTGACTTCAAGCAGGCCTGTCCCCGCAGCTCCATTTTGAGTGATACCTCTCTCCTCCAGCAGCAGTCCCCTAGCTGGCACCTCGCTCCCGCGCTGCTCCTGACCCTTACCCCAACGCTCGCTTGCCATCTTGCTCCGCTCCCAGCTCTGCCTGTGCGGATGTGAATGGATTGATGGGCCATGTCCCAGCTGCACCAGCTTGGGTTAAGTGCTGCCACGCAAGCTTCATGCGCGCAGCCCTGCCAATGCATTTCACTCCTGACCTGCCAGGTCTGTCCTACTGAAGTCCCGGACCTCTCTGAGGAGGAGGTGCCAGTATTACAGCAATGTGCTAGATGGCCTGTCGTTACTCGAGACTCATGATCTAAACCAAGTTTAAACTGCTGTGTGTCTCTGTCTGAAGAAGCCAGCATGCGTCTTGGCAAATGCCTATGGAGCTGTCCCAGAACACATCAGAATATCACTCGCTCAAAGAAAATGTGTTTGGCCGGAGTACGGAAATCCCATAGTGGTGGGAAAGAGAGACTTTATTACTGATAGCGTTCCCTGGTGGCATAGTTCAGGGCGGACAAGTTCTGCTGGAGGACTTCATATGCTCATTGTGAAATGAGTTCCTCTGATGTTAGTCTGAGGGTATTCATAGTCTCTTCCCTGCAGAGGAGCTCGAACACATCTCTCATCCAGATGTGGCAGCCAGAGGCACAGGGAGAAGAGAGAGTTCCTCATCTCCAGGGTTCGAAGGTCTGCTCCGCTCCCAGCTCTGCCTGTGCGGATGTGAATGGATTGATGGGCCATGTCCCAGCTGCACCAGCTTGGGTTAAGTGCTGCCACGCAAGCTTCATGCGCGCAGCCCTGCCAATGCATTTCACTCCTGACCTGCCAGGTCTGTCCTACTGAAGTCCCGGACCTCTCTGAGGAGGAGGTGCCAGTATTACAGCAATGTGCTAGATGGCCTGTCGTTACTCGAGACTCATGATCTAAACCAAGTTTAAACTGCTGTGTGTCTCTGTCTGAAGAAGCCAGCATGCGTCTTGGCAAATGCCTATGGAGCTGTCCCAGAACACATCAGAATGTCACTCGCTCAAAGAAAATGTGTTTGGCCGGAGTACGGAAA